AATGTCGGCTGGCGACCCCCAGGGGGAGGGCCTTCTCTGTGGGTGCCCCCACCCTCTGGAACGAACTACCCCCCGAGATCCGGACGATTCCGGATCTCCTTACTTTCCGCCGCGCCCTCAAGACATGGCTTTTTCAGCAAGCGGGCCTGGCCTAGGGAGGATTTTAAATCGGGTTTATTTTAGGAGTAATTTTTAAATACCACAACCTTAAATATTTGGTTTTAATTGGTTTTATTCCGTGGGGTTATAAGTGTATTTATGTTTTTTAATATGTTGTGAGCCGCCCTGAGTCCCGTTGGGAGAAGGGCGGGATATAAATCAAATAAAATAAAATAAATAAATAAATAAATAAATAAATAAATAAGATCACAAGGGAGCAGGTCTTGAGACTGTTATTTGGGAGGAGTTTGACTCTGTGACTCCCGATGACGTGGACAGGGTCCTGGGGAGACTGAATGCAACCACATGTTTGCTGGACCCGTGTCCCTCCTGGCTGGTACTGGCGGCTCGGGAGGGCACACGAGCCTGGCTTCAGGGAATTATAAACGCTTCTTTGGGGGAGGGTGCCTTTCCCACGGCCCTTAAAGAGGCGGTGGTGAGGCCCCTCCTTAAGAAGCCTTCCCTGAACCCAGATGTATTGGCCAACTATCGCCCAGTCTCCAACCTTCGCTTTGTGGCGAAGGTTGTCGAGAGTGTGGTTGCACAGCAGTTTCCTCGGCACCTGGAGGAAACAGTCTATCTGGACCCTCTCCAGTCGGGCTTCAGACCGGGTTACAGCACGGAAACGGCATTGGTCACATTGGTTAATGATCTCTGGAGGGCCCGGGACAGGGGCTATTCCTCTGTCCTAGTTCTTTTGGACCTCTCGGCGGCTTTTGATACTGTGGACCACGGTATGCTGCGGCGGTTGGGTGGGTTAGGAGTGGGGGGCACCGTGATGCGGTGGTTCTCCTCCTTCCTCACCGACCGTACGCAGTCTGTATTGGCAGGGGGACAGAGGTCGACCCCAAGACCCCTAACTTGTGGGGTCCCACAGGGGTCGGTCCTCTCTCCACTTCTGTTCAATATTTATGTGAAGCCGCTGGGGGAGATCATTCGTGGCTTCGGGGTGGATTTCC